GATTAAACAAGAAATTCAATTAGTCCTATGTTGAAATACCGCAGTTATGTAAGTAATAAATGAACACAAGAATTGATCACGGAGAAATCCAATTGGGTGAAAACTCCGGGCACTTTGTCAGTCAACAATCCACTATAAACGATTTTTAACTTAAGACTAGACGACGACACGTACTATCTAATCTCCTGACTGCAATTCCAACAGTTCTCCTAGATTATGTGCTCCTGTGCCAATTCCCAGCTGCATTTTTCAAAGCTCTCCTAGATTGCGCTCTCTTGCAGCAACTCCCAACTTTGTGAAATCGTCTATCTTCTGTAGATTCACGACAAACACCGCGTTCTTCAATGACTGGAACTCCAGTCACCTTCTTTTGATCTTCAAAAACTCTGACAGATATGAATGAAGCAGCAATTTGGTGTTTGGATTGTGAAACTGGTATTTTTCATCGCCAAGAATAGATCAATTTGAACAATGAAGGTTGCCTACTTCAGAGGATGAAAAGAATATGAAAGCAGTGGTTTTTCTCAATAATCAACTTTAGAAAATCGTTCAAACGAAAAAAAACCTTTAAAAAAACCTGTTCAGACGAATAAATGGTCCGGACAAAAAACCTTTAAAAAATGAAATAAAAATTTCCTTAAAAACACTGTTGCTCGAGCTAATGTCCAGTGACAGTCGAGCGATAGGTCATCGCTCAAGCGAAAGTGAAGCGACAGTAGAGCGATGAAATTTCTGTTTTTGATGCTTGAGCCAAACCTCGGTGAAAAGCTAGTGAAATTTCGCATCGTTTTTCCTTCTTTTCCATTCTCGAACCCTAGACCTAAAATATCATAACTTTCACTAATTACATACTACTCCTTGACTTTTTACACATATCAAATTTAGTCTTTTTTGTTCACAGAATAGCCAATAACATTAAATACCTAACACAAATGACAAATTAGTTGGTTGAAGGTTTGTTAGATAGGTATAGGTAAAAATATGTTTCTTAATACATTTGAAATGTGTTGTTTCTATCAGCCCTTTTCGTCTCTTCTTGCTTGGTTGTCATCAATTGAATGTTATTAGATGATTCCCATGACCTGTTGAGTAATTTAGCTTCCCTTGGGTGAGGGGTGGGGTGGGATGGGTGTCTGTCTCTCTGTGTGTGTGGGTATCCAACTTTATGTTTATCCTTTACTATTTACAATGTTATCAGTAATACCATCATTACTGTTTTTGTAGTTTCCGGTGGTCAACTCTTTCATCTTCTGTGCAAAGAAGTCCACAGGAAAATGGACACTCCCAAGAGAGCGTCTTCCAGTCCTAAGGATCAGCCTACTAGGAAACAACGGAAGGGAAAAACCCAATTAGAATTCTTCCAGCCACAGAGCCATATGTTGATATTAATTTTCCTAATTCATTGATCTGCAAAAATTCTGCATGTCGAGCAACCGTTTCACTAGAATATATCTCTAGTTGAAATGAATGTCTGA